CAGAATGAGGCTGCAATGACAAAGCCCACTTCTGCACTTCTTTCTGCCCAGCTTCATATCCAGAAAGCTGATTTTTTGACTTTGAGTACATCTGGGAAAATGATAATCCACAAGATAACTGAACAACAGCCTGACTTGATTAGGAATGGATTAGAGAACACCATTAAAACAATGCATTGTATAACAGAAAACCTACCCAAAAAGAAAAGAAAAATCTTACTAAGAGACTCCCCATCACTTCCAGTACCTTGGGTAGTGTTTTTGAACAGTGTCTTACTTTTTCTTAAAGTAGGTGATAATTCAATTACCATATTCTATTGCCATTTTCTGCACCTCTGAAGAGAATATCCCCCTTCCAACAGCAATTTTGCCATTACTATAATAATGAAGAATTTCAAATGAGTGCTTATACTGCTGTATCCTGGTGTGTGCATCCTGGGTTACTGGTGGACTTAAGAGCTCTTCATGATGCTCAGAAGAGAAGACAAACAGCAAATTCACTAAAAAGATGACAGATCTTATTTTGACTCCTGATTCTGCAAACTATTCTGCATTAGTAAAGCTTTAATCCTCATGATGTTTTAATCTTTGTATGAGAAAAGTCTCATTTAGTAGGCAAATAATAAAAAGAAGTGAAATGATTTGCTGCTTGCCAGTTTCTCAACAGCATTCTAAAAGCCTCAGTGAAATTAATGTATTAAACACAGGAGTGGGAGAGGACATTCCAAATTTAAACATCAGAGAGTAAGGCAAGATGTACAGTGATGCTATGAAACTCAAAATACAGATCTAAATACATTAGAAGAAGATTCCTTCCCTATATATCAAACAGCATAATAAAGCTGAGGAACTATCCTGGTCGTATAACCACTCTAAAAATAAACTGGAGTCCTTCAGTAACTCACTAGAATGTAAAGATCATTTCAAAGCATTACAAAGAAAAAGAAAATAAAACACCTATGGTATGAAATGCTTTTGACTCCAAATTTTAAAGCTGCATTTAGTCATAGTTTAACAAATGAAATTATCCCCTTTCACGCATGTTCATACAATAATTGAGATGGTCAGAAATCCTTCAGAATGGCAAACGATAAACCTTTCAAATAACCTCCCCGACTCCTATTGACCTAGATATATTTCTGAAGTAGAGGGCTGAAAAGAAAGAATAACAACAAAAAAATAGTAGACAGTAAGAATGGCCAAGCACGAGCACTCCAACAGTTACTCAGCATCAGGTGACTAACAGTAACTCATAAAAGCAAAGCTACTGGAGCTCCTGGCTGGTGTAACTCATCAGCAGAATGAAAATAGTCCAACTTATAGGAGGTGAATGAGTCGTTACAAGCAAGAGTCAAATAAAGAAAATGCTACAGGCTGACACAAAAGCAAATAGATGTGAAAAAGCCCTAACCCTAATTAGGCTAGAAATTATAAAGGAAGGCGTGAAAGAATCTTCTAGCAGGTGGAGGGGAGGAAAACACTTGAATTTTAATACCAAGAGTGGTCATTTTATCTGCAAGATTATAAAATATTGCTGCTTTGATAACAAGAGACAGAGTAACAGCTCAGGGTGTCCCTTTTGTTTGTATGCTTTGAGCAGTACAAAAAGCATACAATTTGTCTCTATTGGAATTTTTTGTAACATTTCTTACAGACATACACAAAGTACTTTACTAATAGTGGCATACATTTGAAAAATCAAGTTGGTGGAATACTATGGAGAGGTTGACTGTACTAGTGATAAAATTGGTAGAAATTGGTTTAGGTAGCACAGCTCTTAGATAATAGATTCTCCAGTGTCCAAGAACTCTTTCACACCTTTCCCCATATTATCCCGTCATGTTGTGGAACAAAACTGCCCTAGAACTTGGTGGTAAGAGCTTTTTGCCTTCATAACAACGGGTCCAGAGTTGGCAAACTGTGGAAGTTTTTAAAATCACAGAATCACAGAATATTAGGTGTTGGAAGGGACCTCTGAAGACCATCGAGTCCAACCACCATGCCAGAGCAGGACCATCACAGAATCTAGGGTAGGTCACACAGAAACACATCCAGATGGGTCTTGGAAGTGTCCAAAGGAGACGACTCTACAACCTCTTTGGGCAGTCTGCTCCAGTGCTCCATAACCCTTACAGTAAAGAAGTTTTGCCTCATGGTGGAACTTCCTGTGATCTAGTTTGCATCCATTGCCCCTTGTCCTATCACAGGGCATGACTGAAAAGAGATTGGCTCCTCCTTCTTGACACCCACCCTTCATATATATATATATATGCCTTTTTTTTCTTTATATTAATGACATCCCCTCTCAGTCTTCCACATAGGAATAAAACCCCTTTCCACATCATAGACTGTTTACTCCTTTCTCTTCCTGATGTCAAGGTTTCACAGCTTTATCAATGTCTTACTTCTTTCCCCACTCAAACTCCTCTTAAACCACATCTTACCGAGAGCATTCAGTTTATTTCTCATTTCCATCATTCCCAGAAGTATCTCTTTTTCCACCTCTTCACCAACTCCTTTTAACACAAGTTATATTCTTTTTCCCTTCTTTAAAACCAAGTTTGGCTGTGCCTTTTTACTCTTTTTTCTCCAAATAACTTCCTTGTGTTTGTTCCTGCCTCTCATAATGAATGCTGTGTGAAAGTTTGCACCTCCTCCATTCCTGCAATATGGATTTTGCTCTCTCAACCATGCAATGAACTTTCCTCTTCTTGAAGTACCAGTTTTTTTGCATTACACTTCTCCATAATTTACTGTTTCCATGCCCAGACTATTCCAGTCTGACAACGTATTTCCCCTTCTCAAATTTTGCTGAATTTGTCCCTTATAATATTTCCTTCCCAGTTCCGCAAACATTCACCTATTTGTCAGCAGGCAGTAAAACATTTGTTGCTTATTTTTTGGGAAAATATTTAACAAAGTAAGGATCCTGCCATGGCTAAATACTACAATGCCCTCACCCATCAGATAAGCACAGATCACAAGTATCTCAAGAAATTTTAATTTTTAAGAATCTTGCAATTCATTTAAAAACAACCTCAAAATCCAGTAACTCCAATGAGAAAAGTGCTTGAAATGGCAGCTTAGTTGATTCAGGTGGCAGTTCTGTCAAAATAAAACAACTTGCACCTACATCTGTACCAAAAATTAAAAACTATTCTTGAAAAAAAATAATTAAAAATTATTTACATTTAGTCTATTTTAAACAATTTAATAGAACTATTGCCCACAATGCTACATACAAGAGACTATTTTAAATAACATTAGTACAAACTAAGAAAAGTCAGAGAACCTAGAGTTAGAAACATTTAATCTTTCTCTACCATAATAAAAGACGTAATACATATGATTCATTCAAACAACTATATTATCATAACTGTAAGAAAAAGCTTAAATAAAAATGTTTAAACAAGGCAGCTAAAAGTCAGGCATCTAAATCCATGTGTAGGCACTGAATAGCTGGTTTAATTTTCAGAATTGCAAACACTTTCAACTTCGACAGAGTTTAAGGTGACCAACACCTATAGAATTCCCATTAACACTTATCTGCATAATTAATTTAATTCATCTGAGTAGGTCAATCAAATTAAAAGGGAGTATTTATATGGATTTAATCACATGACTAATGTTTATAGGATTACAACATATGCTGATATATGGATTAATTTAATTTCAGTCTTAAAATTTAAAACTTTCAATCACAACATTTAACGTATGAATTGTTTATTTAACTATGCATCTAGGATGTATGCTATAGTCTTTAAAAACATATGCTGTGAGGAACTCCCACTAGATTTTAAAACAGAGTAATTAGCACATTTTTTCAAAGTGGCAACCAGAGTCCTCATGATCAACATATTATTTGAAATATTGACATATACAAATTAGGGAAACCATTCAGAAACAGTAATTTTCCTTACTGACCATATTACTCCCACAGTTTGAAAGCAGAAATCCTGTTAGCAGAGATTGCTGTATAGAAATAGATGACATTGACAGGACTGACATTTTAGAAGTTTCTGTAACTTCCTAAGTGCCTAAACAGGAAACATCATCTTTTATACCCCAACTTTTAATCGGGGATCAGTATTTACAATTGAATCAATGCCTCTAAATACTTCATTATATCAGGACACTGACCATCACAACACCATTAATATCAATTAGTTAAACATATTTTCCATTGCTAAATTAAAATACATTTTCCAACACAAGGAGTTTTAATCATTCATCCATTACTACTGATCAGGTAATTCTTTGTCTTTACTATAGTATTGCTCTAATAAATTACAACAGCAAAATAATTAGATTGCTCTTTTTAGCACAAAGAAACAGGGCTCAGTCCTGCAAACACTTTTCAAGTGTCTAATTTTATAAATGCTTATGGTCATATTAGTATACATAAAATAAAACTTGTGACAATTTTTTAGACAATCAGCATTCAAATCATCTCAGCTGTTATTATTGACATCAAGTGTGCAGTGGTCAGGGAGCTACAGCACTGAAATTGCAAGATAAGAACATATCATCAACTGACCAGGAATGTCTACAAAAATGAATTCATCTGAGGTCTACTAACCACTTTGGTGATAAGATGAAAATCTATACCCACTTTGTTCCTGGGAAGGAAAGACAAGGCAAGCCACTGATTGGGTGAGATCCTCTTCTTCATCACCAGTGAATGAACAATTAAGAGACTGATCTGGTTTGCAATACAGGTAAGGAACAGTTTTTTTAAAAGACTAGCTCTTTTAAAAAGTTAAAACTTGAGAATAGATTGATTTGCCTTTCATTGCATCTAGCAGCAGAGTAAAGGTCTCAAGTAACCTCCTAGTTCCATCCTATTTTATAAAACAAACCAGACTGAAATCAATAAGGCTGTTTTATATCTGTGTCAACTTGATTCCCTTATACCAAGTGGACCAATCACTTTGAGGACCTTCAAATGGAGTGATCGGTCTTGTCAATTCCAGGAAAAGTCATTGCATCCATTGGAATAATTAGTCTCCAACATCACCATCTCTGTCACCTATGAGCCACAGAAAATGGAAGCCTATAGCTAATAAGGCAGTTCCAAGCAGATCTCCCAGTGCAGTAAGATAAGGGATAGAAAAACTGTCAGGATCTTTTCCTTTTTTCCAGAAGTGATGCACCATCCAGTCAGCAATCCATAACAGAGTAAACACCTACGGAACAGCAAACAACCAAAATGTGTATTACCATCCCTTAAGTCATAGTGAAAGAAAGTCAATAGTCAATGTTATTGTCTCCTTAGTACTTAGCATTATTGTATACAACTGCTTTTGAAACAAATATAAAAACATTGTATTAGTTAATTTCAGACTAAAACTCCCCACAACCAGAGAAAGGGACACTTAGCTAACTTCATTGAGGTAACCACATGCACAGGAAGAAGGAACACACTAATGGCATTCTTCACCCATTCCATGCCTGAGGACTCCTGAAAATGGCCAAAAAAAGTAAAAACTCCAACCAAATGTGCAACTGCACCTCTCACACAAGACACCATTCTGCACAGCAGGAGCATAAGTTGGGCTCTGAGATCATTCAGAACCAACTGATGTTGCCTCAGATGAAAAAATCAACACAGCTGTGATTCTTGTTTCCACAGGTCTAGAACCGAGCTGAAATCAGACATGATACAAAGAATACCAGGTCAGATTAAGAACAGCTTCATATGGAATGTATGAACTGAAAAAATGGCCTAGAAGCTACTTCTATGCATGAAATACCAACTTCAGTCCTGTAATAAGGCACACCTGCAATATATATTATGAAACTGTCACAGCAGGCTGAATTTGTCCCAGAATAAAAGATTTCATTCCCAACTGTGAATGTCTGAACATTAGAGAGGTTTGATCTTCATACCAAAGGTATGCATAATCATTAATCCAATTTTAGGAAAGAATTCCTTTAATGTTTCACAGCTGTATGATAAGAGATTCAGGTTCAGTGGAATCATGTGGAGTGGCATGGCACAAGATGAATGGAGAAAGGACCACTAACTAAGATTCCATTTCTTCTTCTCTCTTTTAAGAAGCTGCTTAAGATGAGATAAACACACTATTTTATGTATTTTTACTCAATCAGATCTTTAGGAAGAACAAACGTAAGATAGTTAATACCATAATTAATTTTTTAAAAGTCTACAATGTACATCTAAAGGAATATGCAGTGTCAAAAGTAGTAAAAGGCACAACATTCACATTTTATTTAGCAAATGATCAATTACTGGTATCTAAAGCATCTTTATGTATGCACTCAGTGACCGAAATACTGATAAGATGGTTGCAAGACATTTCTCCACAACATACGATACATTAAAATAAATGTCATATAAAATATTGTGTAGAAAAGTTTCCCGATTAATCTTTGCTTTGCGAAAGTAAATGTTAAAGTACAAGCTTGAATTTCTAATTAAAAAAAAAAAAAGGAATAAAAAGAAAGGGAGGAGTATTTGCTTAATGAAAAATGCATGGGTTATTTATTTAAACATATCTTCTGAAAAGGGAACTCTGTCGTCTAAGCTAATTATGCAAGTCTTAGGTGTGCTGACTGGAATCCAAACAAATATATTTCAAACAGATGTTTTCTTTGGAAGACTATCAGATTCTTTGAGTCAGTTCCTTCTAACAGAGACAAAAAGGGGCCTGTTTATAAAAGATACTGTACATTAACATCTCTTACAGGATGTGCACAGAAGACTCTGTAGCGCCTCACATCAACAATAATTATGCATGTCCTACTAGAAGATGAGAACATTCATTTCAAGAACTATTTATAATGCATTTATATAACACAACCAATTAGACATAACACACAGTTCAATTGAAATTACAGTATAGGCTTTTGCCTTTTAAAAATCATGACATGAAAACTTTTTGGTTTAATATATATTTTCCATCCTAAAATAACAGACTTACATTGCTGAAAAAAATAGGTGGTCTGGAAATGAAGTTCTGATAATCTTTCCAAACAGTTATTTCTGCTATATTAACTTGTGGATGCATAGTATATAATGCAATTTATAAGAAACCTGGCTTCTGTAAGTGACAGGAAAAAACTTAGAGCATTTGATAATAATTGATACTTCTAACAGTATATGATGGCAGCTGGAACATAGTGCTTGCAGAATAAGTTAAGAGACTGCAGTTCACCATTCTTTATTGGGGTGAGGGAATAATGCTATCAGCATGCATCTACATGGCTAGAAACTCACTGATACTTAAGAATGATATAAATAAGTCTTTAGGAATGGTTACTTATTTGGCCATAGTTGTTGGTGCTGTAAGACAGAAGTCAATCACTGACTTAAATCTTTAATGAGGTTTTGGTTCCTATCAATTTTAGAGAGGGTGTTCAAAGTCATTAATCAACTGCTATTTTTTTAAGAAAATAAGCAAAAGCCCAACCTATGAGTTTGCTGAATTTTTGAAAGTAAGACAGTCCTGAAATTCAAAGTTGTAAGAAAACTCACTCACAAAGATCTGACAGATGTAAAAAGAAGAAAATAATACAAAAGACACTATTAGACTTGTTGCTTTAGTGGCAAGACACATCAGATGTTCTGGGATTTATCAGTGACCTATGCTTCTTTCAGCCAGATCTGACAGATGGCACAGCAGTACAAATACTCTGAACTTCCACTCTGCACTCAAGCTACAAAGAAGAAAACTTTTCTACTTCAAATTGAAAACCAGCTGGTTTTGAGCGGTAAAAATGAAGGGATCAACATTACAGAAAAGCCTAATAACATGGTAGAAAAATTATCTGTTTAGTATTAAATACTGTTTACCAGTCATAAGAAAAGCCTGTAAATATAAGCAGGTTTTCAAGATGTGAGTTACTATTTCAAACTTATTTAACATACAGAGGAAGAGAATAATAAAGTGCTTTTTGAAAAAAAATAAAATAAAAATTAATAGCACTAGAATTACAAAAACAGAGTACTAGGTATTCTCCCAGACTGAAGAATTAAATAAAACCAAGGCTTAAGAAAAGTAAAAAATCACTAAATATCTATATACATTAAAAACGTCTGTGTAAGAAACAGGAAACACTCTCTAGTCAATGATCAAGAAAAAGAAACCTCAGAACAAGCACTGCAAAAATACAGGTAAAACTCCAGATGTTTTGATATTTAAAAGGAAGATTAAAGTTATTACTCTTCTGGAAAAAAAAATACAATAAAAATGAAACTAAAGACATCGATACTTTTAGGCTGTATTCCTACAAAGACCTATCAGTCATGTTGTCAAAAAAAGGCTCAGAAGAAAGAAGCAGCAGCATATAGCATTAAGAACGAGAGGGAGAGACAGAAGGAGGAAAAGAGCAAGACTGAAGACTCTCAAACCCTAATGTTGAAGAACCTGAAAATAAGGAGCATAAGTACACACACTATTTTATAAAACAAAGGGCAGTAACAGAGAGTAACACTTGATACTGAACTTTCTGATTCAAATAATGAATATCAGATTGAATATCAGATTGAATGTTTAAATAAGAGTAAGTCTCGCTATCTGAAGCTCAAATCTTGTGATTGCAAGGCTAGATCTTGTAACACTATGCACTACAAAGCAGTTATGTTTCCTTTATTGCTGGGCACAAAAGTTCCTTTCATTCTTTGCAGGTTGTCAGATAGAAATAACAAGTCTAGCTAAAAAAAATATTATTTTGTCTTTTGAATGTAGCAAGACACCCTAAAAACATTTTCTCATGGAATTAATTTCTCATGACTTCTGAAATGGGAAAAGAATGGAACCCTATTATTTAAAATAATAATGCCTAACTCCCTTCAAATATTTTTAATACCATAGCCTAATTGATACATTGTAGGATGCTACAATATTTTTACAGTTTCTTTCAACTGGGATGACCATATTTCATCAGTGAATGCATGTCAAATTTACAGTGATTAAAAGTATAACATGCAAATATTTGTAAACCAGGTTTAAATCTTTCATGTTTGTATTAGCTTATACATTAGTCACTGTAATTACTGAATTTCAACACCAGACTGGAAAGAGAAATTTGGGGTTTATATTTGCATATGCTTTTTTCACATGGGTGTTATCAAAATTCTACTGTATGTTTAGTATGTAGAACCAAGACCTTTTAGCAGTTTATTCAGCATGCCTTAGATGGACAGGACATCTGTATGTTGCTAGTACTGCTGCTTCACCTTAAATCATTTCCATATGAAGGTGCATTACAAAATAGTTTCATTCTGTTACTTCAGACAGGAAACACAGATGCAAATAAACTGTGGTTACCTTTTTTTTCAAATATCTATACTGACTCAAAATTCACCTATAATGTAACCATGACAAGATCTGATAATTACTGCACAAGAACTCTTATAAATCCATGAATATTGGAGACAAGTTTGGGATTTTTAAATTATGAGTCAAAAACCCCAATTAAGGATCTACAAAACCTACTGTGTCCCAACATCATTCTCACCAGATTTATGGTTTATGTCTTCTAGTGGTTTTGGCCCTTCATTAAGTTAATTTTTAAATTATAAACTACATGTGTCAGATTTTAAAAGGTTTTTGAATCTTCATGTGAAACTAAGTAGTAACCATAGAGAACTCATAATAGATCTACACTGAATTTACTTGCTGACTTTCCATTGTCTGCAGCCAGATTTCAGTAATTCTGTAAACTCTCAGAGTAGGGCCTATATATGTTTTTCAAGAGAAGTTTTTCTCCGCTGTCTTCTCACTGTCTTCATCAGCATATCTAATGTGTCTCTTGTCCAGAGGAAACAAGTCACTATTTCCTCTAAACAAACAGATATTTCCTTCAATGTCTGGCTGCAGAGAAACCACAGAGCAGCAAGGTCTTTTTTTGCTGTTGTTGTTTGTTTTGCAGCTAAGAGCTGCACTATAGTAGCAAGTGCCCAGACAGTATAACATAAATTTATGTGAGACTAAAACTTTATCTAAGTAAAAAAAAGGATACCATTTTAACTGAGGTCGTTTCTAAATCTATTTGATTATATTGATAAAATTTTGTGGGAAGGAGCTTTTTTTATTATTATTATTCCACAGTTTAAATACAAATTCCTTAGACTGTCTTCTTGATTTCTTTGCAGCTTTGCCAGTCACCCTGGTTTGACCAAGGCAGCTCTAATTTCAGGCTGTTCGTTAGCTTTCTGCAT